CCCCCTTGTTTTCTCTTGTGTTTGACTAAACACTACTCTTCGGATTAGCATGTTTACTCAAGCTTAATAAAAAGTTAAAATTACTTTTGATGTAACATTTTTTTTGCTTCAACAATATTTTAATTTTTACTTTGGACTAGAATGTTACTTGTTCTCAAAGTCATTATTTTCTTACTATAAAAATCAAAATTTATTTGACTGAAAAATTATTTTAAAACTTATTTATTTACTTAAAAGTGCACTATTTACTCTTATATGTGCATATAAATACTAGATCAGACGTTATCTTTTGATATCATAATGAACTACTTAATTTGAAAATTTACTAGCGAGACCCGTTGATAATTGAAGGTGGGCCGATGATGCCATCAAGGACAAAATGAGTAAAACAAGCGATTGGATTGTTCGTTCAAGAACCAATTGACAAAACATTATTTGGAATGCAAAACGAGGCAACTTTCATGTTGGGATCGAGAGTCGCAGTGAATTGGATCAACATGATAAAGCAACAAAAGTCGAAGACTAAAATAACAACTATGCGGTCGCATAGTTGGCGAGAATTTTCCTTTTTCGAAGCAAACTTTCCATATTTCATTAGAATTATATTATAGACAATATTCTTGTAATTTTTAATTCCGTTTTAAACTAGGATTAGAGTTTTATTCCTATTAAAATTAGTTTCTAGATTTCTACATATAAATATGTTTATTTTCATTGTAAAACATTACACAACATTATTTTGAGAGAATTCAATAAAGAGAGGCAATTTGCTTTTTTCACATCATTCTTCATTGAAAAATTGGAACTTATCAAGAGTTACAATCTTGGGGCGTTCTACAATTTGGGTGCGAGTCTTAATCGTATAATCAAGGGGTCTTTCAATCTTTGATCTTATTTGGTTTTTTGGTTCATTGATTTGGGTTCAAACTCTCAAACATCTTAATTGGCTTTTCTGGGGTTTTAACAATCTAGTTGTGGGTTCTGTAGTCAACGTTACTACGGGGTTCACATCGGTAGGTGCCAGAGCACGGGCTCCAATTTAACAGGTTATATCTTTAGTTTTCTTCGTTGAGTTTTTGTTCTTTTTTTTCGCGTTTTTGTTAGTTTCCATTCTTGTGTTCTTCGTTTCTTCGTTGTTCAAGTCTTTAATCCGTCAAATTATCGTCAAATTTTGTGAAAGTTATTTTTGGGGCTATTCTAACATCCAAAACCATCTTGTTTAATTTGTTGGTAGTTTAATTCATTGTTTTTTTTTTGTTCCAAAAAAAAAAAAGGTCAAAAAAACCGTTACTGTTCATGTACAATTAAGAAGAAGAAAAAAGGGGTAAAAAAAGGTATACAAAAAAGTTACTGTGCACGTACAGTTAAGAAAAAAAGGGGTAAAAAAAGAGGTTACTATACATGGTACTGTTCAATTTTTTTTTTCATATTGATATTTTTATTGTTCAAGTTACTACCAACAATCATTTTTTCGTTTATTTTAAAGTTTGGTCACACTAGTTTCTTTCATTCAATCAAATCGGGTCAATTACAATCTTTGGTTCACATTTGGTTTGGAATTCCACGGGTTTAAAACTCTTCGAGTTCGCTTTGTTCTCTGAAGCGCTTGGAAGAAAGCATTGAGTGGTAAAAGACAGAGTAGTGAGATAAATAGTGGGAAAAAACCACATTGTGTGATTTTTGAGTGAATATCGGTGAGGCAGATAAAATTTCTGGTTTTAGGATGTCTGAACGAGAAGATTCCAATTTAAACCGACATGGCAATCATAACAGTGCAACGAATGATTTGATACATCGATTAGAAAGTGCGTTTGGGGATGTGAGAGATAGGTTGGATAGATAGGAAGCTTGGAAGATAAAACAGGACGCTTAGATGACAAGGTTGGATACCTCGGTGGCTAATCTTAGTAGGGGCAATCAGTAAAGGTGTCAAATATTAGGGGACCGGGTAGGCGGGGACCTAGGAGAGAAAGGTGTGAGGAATATGATAGTGATCTGGATGAGTATAAGGCTAATGTCGTTGATTTGGGGCGGATGAGGAATAGAGGCGATAGGTTTGAAAGACGTGGGTAGGAATAATAATGGAAATAAGATAGATGGAAACATGGGTAATATCAAAATGATCATTCCACAATTTAAAGGGAGAAGTGATCCGGAGGCGTACCTAGAGTGGGAAAGAAAGGTTGAATTGATTTTCGAATGTTATAACTACTCGGAAGAGAAGAAGGTGAAGTTCGCGGTTCTAGAGTTTATTGACTATGCAATAACTTGGTGGGATCAAGTGGTTACTTCATAACGTAGGTGTGGGAGAAGACTAGTTAATACTTGGGAGGAGCTGAAAACATTGATGAGAAAATGGTGCGTTCGTAATCACTACTATAGGAAGATCTATCAGAAATTGTAAAACTTGTATCAAGGGTCGAAGAGCGTGGATGATTACCACAAGAAGATGGAGATACTTATGATTAGGACAAATGTTGTTGAGGATCGAGAAATTACTATGGCACGGTTCTTGAATGGATTAAATAGGGAAATTGCTAATGTAGTGGAATTACAACATTATGTGGAGTTAGAAGATATGTTGCATGTAGCCATGAAGGTGGAGAGACAATTGAAGAGGAAGGGGACAGCTGGGCAACCGTTAGGTACTTCGGGTTCTAATTCATCTTGGAAACCGAGGTGGGATAATAATAAGGGTGATAGGGCTGTATCTAAAGGTAGGAATGATTGGCAAAAGGGGAAAGATGAAGGTGCTAGAAGAACAATACCAAAATCGGAGTCACAACCATCAAGGAGTCGAGACATCAAGTGTTTTAGATGCTTAGGGTCGGGGCACATCGCTTCTCAATGCCCAAACAAAAGGGCAAGGGTGTTGCCAGACAATGGAGATGTGGTGAGCTAAAGTGAAGGTAAATAGGACGACATGCCGGCATTGGACGAGGTTAAGAAGAAAAGTTTGAAGGTGCCGTTGGGGATCTTTTAGTTGCAAGGTGAGCTCTTACTACTCACATAATGGCGAATGACTCAGACTGCAACAGGAGAAAATCTTCCATACTTGATGCCATGTCAACAATATGGTATGCAGTGGCGGATCCAGGAATCCAAGTGAGCTAGGGCGACCGTTGACCATTGATCGTTGCTGCAATAGCAAGATTGTTCATTGGTGACGTTGATTTTAAGTTTTGACTGTGATTAGCAGTGTGGTCTACTTATATCCTATATGTTTATATTATCTCTTGTACAATTGAGTACCTCGGGGAAATTCCTACAAAACCAATATTTTCTATCATTTACCATAACTTGGAATGGAAAAAGTAGAATGATCCACGACACGGACTTCCCATCCACAAACATTCAATTTGAGAATCAATTTCAAACCTAAACTAAGAATAATCAAATTAGATAGTAATTTCTGCACATACATGGAAGATGCATGATTTGTCATTGAATGGAGAAATTTGACAAGGGAACTACTTGTAATACTACTTTAACCTTATCTGCGAAGACACAAAAGTCATAGCCACATAGTTAAATACCCATTAAATTGAGGGAAAAGAGGTAAGTCTACAGCTAAACACTAAAAATTGCACCCCCAAAAAAAGAAAAGAAAATCAATATACAGACAGGAGGAGAAAAGAATTCACGTTACTAGACCTAAGTCCCACTAAACCCAATAGCAAAAGTGATAATTTAATGTCAAGGACTTCCAAAAGTTTATTAAACCCAACTTGCTATGGTGCTAGATAATCAATCTTTCCTACATCTCTTGTGTACTTCTGCTTATCCTTAAAGAACCTATAACAACTTATTCATCATTTTAGTTCACTTTTTCTTACATTATCCCAACATAGTATCATCTTCATCATTTTTCTTTTTTTTTTATTTTCAGATTGTCCTCTGTTTATTTTCCAATCATAACTCATAAATGATAAATGAAAAAAATGAACCAAAGGAACAAAAACCAAAAAATGAAAAAGAAGACAAGTAGGAAGCTCACGAGTCACGGCAGCGACACAGTGGACAGTGGAAAGTGGAGGAGACCGGAGAGTCATGGAGTCAGGTTGGCAATTTGTTATTTGATTGGCAATTGAATTGAGATTTGTTTTACAAACCATTAAACTTGCATCCAGTGTTTGGGCCTTTAAAAAAAATAGAAGCCCAAAAGAAGAGTGTTTCACAATTTTAAAAGAAATGGCCCAATCCACTTACCTGTCATCTTCCTAACTCTTCCAAGTTTCATTATCCTGTGCAATGTCGCTTCAATCTTCAAGCTTCCTTCCTGGCTCAACGGCAACTGTAAAATCCGACGGAGCCAGCACGTGCGGCCACACCCCCTCGTTGGGTGCTGGCTCCGCCACTGACGGTATATAATGTAATTATTGATGGTGGTATTTGCGCAAATATTGCTAGCGTAGCACTTGTAGAGAAATTAAATTTAACACTGTTGAGGCACCTAGGCCATATACATTGTAATGGTTAAACGAAAGTAGAGAAGTTACGATTAATCGAAGGGTGTTAATTAATCTCTCAATTGGAAGTTACCGGGATAAGGTAGTGTGTGATGTAATACCAATGCAAGCGGGACATATTTTTTTGGGGAGACCTTGGCAATATGGTAGGAAAACAATGTATGATGGGTACAAGAATCGCTACACTTTCATCAAGGACGGGATAACCATTATCCTTGTGCCATTAACACTGGCGCAAGTATATGAGGACCAAATCAAGTTGAAGAATGAAGAAAAAAGAAGGGTAAAATATGAGAGAAAACAATGAGGTAGTGAGTAAGAGAGAAAATTGTGAGGTGGTTACTAGAGAGAAAAAGAGAGGGGAGCCACAAGTGAGAAAAGAAAGAGAGTCTTTTGAGAGAAGAGAAAAATCACGAACGAATTTCTATGCCAAAGGAAGTGAAGTGAGGAGAGTGATAGTTGAGAGAAAAGAAATGATCTTGTTCTTGTATAAGAAATCACTCCTCAATTTGGAGGAAACTAACCCACCTCTCCATAGCTTGGCTAAGTCTTTATTGCGGGAATTCGAAAGCATATTTTTAGAGGACATGCCTAGTGGGTTACCATCCATTCGAGGCATTGAACACCAAATTGACTTTATACTTCGAGCTGTCATTCCAAATCGACCATCTTACCGAAACAATCCCGAACAGATAATTGAACTTCAGAGACTGGTAGAGGAGTTGATGAGCAAGGGCTATGTAAGTGAGAGTATGAGTCCATGTGCAGTACCAGTATTGCTTGTGCCAAAGAAAGATGGATAATGAAGAATGTGTGTGGATTGCAGAGTCATCAATAACATAATAGTAAAATATCATCACCCAATCCCTAGGTTAGATGACATGTTGGATGAATTGCATGGTGCATGTATTTTTAGAAAAATTGACTTAAGAGTGGGTACTATCAAATTCGTATGAGGGAATGTGATGAGTGGAAAACTGCATTCAAAACTAAATATGGATTATATAATGGTTAGTTATGCCGTTTGAACTCATTAATGTACCGAGCACTTTTATGCGTCTGATGAATCATGTTTTACGTGCTTATATAGGAAAATTTGTTGTGGTTTATTGTGGCGATATTTTAATCTATAGCAAAAACCTTAATGAGCATGTGGAACACTTAAAATGTGTGTTTGTAGTGTTAAGGAAAGAACAATGTACGTTTTGTATGGAAAATGTTGTCTTTCTAGGTTTTGTGGTTAGTGCTAATAGGATATAAGTAGATGAAGAAAAGATTAAAGCTATTAAAAATTGGCTTACACATAAAACCATAACAGAGGTTAGGAGTGTTCAAGGTTTGACTAGTTTTTATAGGCGATTTATACAAGATTTTAGCACAATCACTATACCACTTATTGAAGTCGTTAAGAAAAGTGTGGGTTTTCATTAGGCGATGAAGAGAAGCATGCATTTAATACTATTTAAGGATAAATTGTGTAAAGCGCCTGTTTTAGCGTTACCTGATTTTAACAAAATTTTTAAAATTGAGTGTGATGCATCAGGAATAGGTATTGAAACAGTTTTAATACAGGAAAGAAGATCGATGCCTATTTCAGTGAAAAGTTTTGTGGGGCTGCACTAAACTACCCAACATATGACAAAAAGTTATACTCTCTTGTTTGGGCGATAGAGACATGGCAACACTACTTGCGGCTGAAGGAGATTGTTATTCACACCGATCATGAATCATTGAAGCACCTGGGGGGTCAAGGAAAGTTGAACAAGAGGCATGCTAAATGGATGTAACTCATTGAGATGTTTCCCTACGTCATCAAAGACAAGCAAGGTAAAAAAAATGTAGTGGCGGATGCGTTATCTCGAAGGTATGCCTTGATAACTTCTTTAAGTGCTAGATTGCTTGGTTTTGAACATATTAAGAGTATGTATGAAACTGACTTAGATTATTCCGATATTTACAAATCTTGTGAAAAATGGGCTGTTGATAAGTTCTTTAGGCATGAAGGTTATTTATTTTGGAAAAATATGTTATGTGTTCTTAATTGTTCAATGTGAGAGTTGTTGGCGAGAGAAGCACATAGTAGTGGACTGATGGGACATTTTGGGGTATAGAAGACTTTAGAGATGTTAGGGGAGCATTTATATTGACCTAAGATGAAAGTTGATGTTGGGAGAATTTGTAGTCGATGCATAACTTGTAAAAATTCTAAGTCTAAAGTTTTACCTCAAAGATTATACGTACCATAACCTACACTTAGTGAACCATGGGTTGACATTTCAATGGATTTTGTTTTGGATTTACCTAGGACTAAGAAAGGACGGGATTCAATTTTTGTGGTGTTAGATAGACTTAGTAAAATGGCACACTTTATACCATGTTATAAAATCGATGATGTCACACATATAGTTGATTTGTTCTTTAAAGAGGTTGTGCGTTTGCATGAGGTTCCAAAGAGTATAGTGTCAAACGGGGACGTGAAGTTCTTGAGTCATTTTTGGCGAGTTTTGTGGGGTAAGTTAGGAATGACAACTTGTCACCCCCAAATCGATGGACAAACTGAGGTAGTCAACAGGACTATGATTCAACTCTTGCACACAGTGATCAATAAGAACTTGAAAAATTGGGATGAATGTTTACCTTTCATTGAATTTGCTTATAATTGTACTGTTCATTCTATACTTCATTTTCACCTTTCGAAATTGTTTATAATTTTAATCTACTAACCCATTTGGATTTAATTCCGTTATCTGTGAATGAACGTAGTAGTTTAGATGGTAAAAGAAAAGCAGAGTTGGTAAAATCACTCCATGAAAAGGTTAAATTGTATATCGAAAACAAAAGCAAGCTTGTTGCATTGCAGGTAAACAAATGGAAAAAAAGGGTAACATTCGAACCCGAAAATTGGGTTTGGGTGCATAGCAGAAAGGAACACTTTCCCAAACAAAGGAAGTCAAAATTGCAACCACGGGGAGATGGTCCATTTCAAGTCATTGAGAAGATCAACGACAATGCTTAGAAGTTGGACCTACCGGGTAAGTATAATGTTTCAGCAACTTTTAATGTGTTTGATATCTCTTTTTCTTAGATGTAGGTGTAGATTCGAGGATGAATCATTTTGAATAGGGAGGGGATGATGTGATTTAAGAGTCAGGCTCGAAGAAGACAAGTGTGGAGTGAGACCCGTTGATAATCGAAGGTGGACCAATGACGCGATCGCAAGCAAAACGAGTAAAACAAGCGATGAGATTGTTTGTTCAAGAAATAATTGACAAAACATTGTTCGGGATGCAAAATGAGGCAACTTTGATGTTGGTGTCGAGAGTTGAAATGAATTGGATCAACATGATACAAGCAACAAAAGTCGAAGACCAAAATAACAACTATGCGGTTGCATAGTTGGCGAGAATTTTACTTTTTCGGAGCGAACTTTCTTATTTTATTAGAATTCTATTATAGGCAATATTCTTGTAATTTCTAATTCCGTTTTAAACTAGGATTAGAGTTTTATTCCTATTAGAATTAGTTTCTAGATTTTCATTAGAGTTTTATTCCTATTAGAATTAGTTTCTAGATTTCTACATATAAATAGGTTTATTTTCATTGTAAAACATTACAAAATATTATTTTGAGAGAATTCAATAAAGAGAGACAATTTGCTTTCTTCACATCGTTCTTCATTAAACAATTGGAACTTATCAAGAGTTACAATCTTGTGGCGTCCTACAATCCGAGTGCGGGTCTTAATCGTGTAATCAAGGAATCTTTCAAACTTTGATCTTGTTGGATTTTTTGGTTCATTGATTTGGATTCAAACTCTCAAACCTCTTAATTGGTTTTTTTGGGGTTCTAACAATTTAGTTGTGAGTTTCATAGTTAACATTGTTACGGGGTTCGCATCACAATATATTTTGGACTGACCAACAGTAAATAATTGGTAAGATATCTCCATCTTAGAGTATTATTAGGTGAAATAAAATAATTGTAGGAAAGTATCTCAATTACGATGATTTTGTCTCCCTCTCTTTTAAATTAAAATCACATGTCAATAATTCGGTTCTTTCATATTTGTAATTTAGAAAGGAACACAACGTTAATTCTAAAAATCTTCAATTGTTAGATATGTTTTTTTTTTTTAAATTTATTTATAAGTAAAAATTCTGCTTATTTTCAAACTAAAATAAGGATTTTTTTTAAAATTTTTTATTTTTAAATAAGTACAAGAAAATTTTCACATGTAAGAGATGAAGTATTATTCATTTCAAAATCTAAGAAACAAGGTTTAAAATTTCAAAAATCAAATATTAATTAAATTTTATTTATCAAATAGTTAATTAAAAATATGTTTTATAAATTAATATATTAAGTTCACAATTTTATACAATTTGGTCACAATTATCAAATTAATTGGCTGCAAATTATTTCTCGATCACAAATAAAATTTTTGTAGACGAAAATTTATTTCACGGTCACAAATAAAAAATTTCATAGGTCACAATTTGTTTATCGATTGCAAATCAAGAAATTTATATGTCACAATTTTCTTATCGATCACAAATTACAAATTTTATAAATCACAATTTATTACACGATTAAAAGCTATCAAATTATTTGTCACAAATTAACAAGTTTATAGGTCACACATTATTTATTGATTATAGTTTATTTATTTGTCATCACCACCAACATTTGTCATCACCATCTTACCGTTGCCACTAGCTGCACTAGTTGTGAACGCCACCTTCGCCACCTCTTGATAGCAACACCACCATGTAAAACATATTAACATCCAACACCAAAAATCACAATCAGTGTGATTGCACCAACGAAACAATGCATCACCTCACAATCAATATAGCAACACCATTGCCAGCATCAACACCTTCTCACCACTACCACCACCAGCCCCACCATCGATGCCGTCGCCACCACCACCCCCCATCTCTACCACCCCACAACCACAATCCTCACCCAAAAAATCCCTAAAGCAGCGACCATCGACACCACTAGAAACATCACCACTTCCTTAGTATCATCACAGTAACCGCAAAACCACCCCCACTTGTGATCACTGCCAATGCTTGTACCATCATCGCTACCCTAACCACCACCGATACAACCTAGCAGAGCCATCGCCACCACCCAAAATCATTGCATAATCACTTGCAAACACTACCATACCACAAACACCACCAACTATAAAAAATTTTTGAAAGCTAAAAGTGAAACTATGGAAAACATTTGGTTTCAAAAAAAATATTGTAATGAATCTCAAAGTGATCTCTGGTTAGAGCTCCAGTAAAAAGGACGTGTAACGAATTGAGTGTCACGCAGATCCAATCCATCGTGCATAACAGTCATCAATGGCCGCTGTGTGCGGCCAAATCTCTGGCCATAGCTCAATCTTGCATGCGTGATGCATGGCTTGAAGCCTTTTGACTTCTAATTAGCCATTTTTTGGTCAAAATAAAAAAAATAAAAATCGGAACTAGTGAGTCAAGGTTGTGAAATCTTCACAATTTGTTTGCTAAACTAACAACTGATTTATCATTGCAATTATGTATTTTGTTAGTCACAAGGGACGAAACGTATTTTGATCTTGGGTGCTAGTGGATTAATGAAAAACCAAAGAAAAAGTTAAATTGAGTGATCAAGTTAAAACAAATTAAACTTTGAGCACCAACGTGAAACAAATGGTATGTCGAGTGTCCACAAAATATTTCTCAATAACAATATTAAACTAATTTTATTAACAATGCATTTTCCTATGAAGCTGCTCCTCATATTTTCGCCATAGCCAAATTGAAGTTCAAAACAGCTGAAATCTGCCTCTAGAGATGGAGAAAGAGGGACCTTTGGACAGAATCCTCTTTTATAAAGTCATCCCTGTTAGCTAAGAATTTATTTATTTATTATTTTTTTCACAAATATGAACGCATTCTCTTCTAGGCTTCCCAAATTACTCAAAGAATCCACCCCTTTGCTCCGTGAAAAATTTGCGTCTTTCTTAGAGACATGTTCAAATGTCAATTTATTGAAGAAGTTACACGCTTGTTTATGTACCCGAGGCCTTGCAGATAACAAATTTTTGAGATCCAAGCTTGTCAAATCCTATACAAGATTCAATCTCTTAAAAGAGTCCAAATGGGTTTTTGATAAAGTTGTTGATAACAATCTTCCTCTCTGGATTTCAGTTATTGTTGGGTACTTTAGAGGTGATAACTTTGATGAAGTGTTGAGGCAATATATAGAACTGAGGCGAATAAATATTGGTATTCATAGTTCTGCGCTCACATTAGGTTTGAAAAGTTGTGTTGAATTGGGGACTTTTGAATTTGGAAGAGCCATTCATGTGGATGGTTTTAAATTTGGATTGAGTAATGATCAATTTGTGGGGTCATCTTTGATTGGGTTTTATTCGAAATTTGATCACATTGAGAAAGCAGCTAAAGTGTTTGAAGAAATTATTAACAGAGATGTGGTTACTTATACTTCGATTATCACGGGGTACGCTCATGCTGCTGATCTTTTTGCTTACAAAGCTTTTAGAATGACATCTCATATGCAATGGGACGGAATTGAGCCTAATAGGGTTACTTTGGTAAGTTTACTTCAGGCTGCATCACAATTAGGAGCACTAGAAGAGGGAAAATCAATTCATGGTTATGGAATTAGAAGAGGCATTGGTTGCCTAGATGAAGTTTTTGAAACAATCCTGATGGATATGTATATAAAGTGTGGTGATCCAAACAAGGCAGCTGCAATCTTTGAAAAGATGGATGAAAAGCCTATTGGTTCTTGGAATGCTTTGATTGCTTGTCATGTTCAACTGGGAGAGCCGTTGAAAGCTCTCAACCTGTTTTCCCAAATGGTGGAAGAAGACTGTGAGCTTGATTTGATCACTTTAGCAAATGGACTAATGAGTTGTGCAGATTTGGGGAATTTGGTTATGGGAAAAAGTATTCATAGTTACATAATTCGATCAGGAATTCGACTTGATCTTGTCACTACCACAAATTTAATTGATATGTACTCGAAATGTAAGCACTTAACTGAAGCAAGTGAAGTCTTTAACAAATCAGAGGATAAAGATAGTGTTTTATTTAATGTGATGATAGCTGCTTATCAATGTAATGGATTTCCACATCGGGCCATGGAGACATTTAATGAAATGGTAATGGCAGGTGTTAGACAGAATACTAGTACCATCTTGAGTGTGCTCTCATCATTATCTGATATAAAAAACTCACGGGCAGGCAAGTGCATCCATGGATATGTGCTTGAACTTGGTTTTGAAGCGAACACTGAAGTTGCTAATCAACTTATGAACATGTACGCAAAATGTGGCTTCATAGGATGTGCAAGAAAAGTTTTTGACACATTGAAGATTAAGGATACAGTATCTTGGACAACACTTATGATGGGTTACATTAATCACAATCTTGCTGATGAAGCAATGACCTTGTTTAGGTTGATGCTAAGAGAAAAGCTTTGCCTTGATTCTGTAGCTTTAACAAGTGTGCTTCAGGCATTAAATCAGCTTGGGATTGTAAGTTTAGCAAGAGAAGTTCACTGTCTTGCATATCGAATATCTGTGGAAGAAGATATATTTTTAATCAATTCCCTAATTATTACTTATAGCAGATGTGGAAAATTAACGATGGCTAGAAATTTGTTTGGACACATGTCTGAACGTCATTTATCATCATGGAACACTATGATAGCTGCGTATAGGATGCATGGGGATTGCGTACAGGCACTCAAATTGTTTGACCAGATGAGAAGAGAGAAGATCTCACCTGATGAGGTTACCTTCACATCAGTACTCTCCGCCTGCAGTCATTCTGGATCTTTAGAAAAGGGCTTGTGTATTTTCTGGTCCATGGAGAAAGAATATGGAGTTGTTCCATCAGAGGAGCATTATGGCTGTGTAGTGGATTTGTTGGGACGAGCAGGACAGATAGAAGAAGCATACAATCTTCTAAAAAAATTTCCATCAGAACAGTGTTCTTCTGCTCTTAGGGCTCTGCTAGCTGCTTGCAGAGTTCATGGTAGTACTGCGATGGGGGAAAGAATAGGAAGATGGTTATTGAATATGGAGCCCCAACATACAAGCATTTATTGTGCTGTGTCGAATATGTACGCTGGAGGAGGAAAATGGGATGATGTAGCGCGTATCGGAGCTATTGCAAAGGGGAAAGGTTTGAAAAGGACTACAGGGTATAGCCTTGTTGATTTATGCTAAATTTGCCTTACCGTCATTGAGGATATTGCTCGAATTTTAGATAGCTTAACCAAATACATACCTTCATGCTGTCTATATCGGTAACAAAAATTCTTTGAACATACATGCTGCTGTAAAGTTGCTCCCAAGCACAATTTCGCTGCTAAATAGTTCTTTGGTAATTTCTTTATGTGGACTTGATTCTGTTCCTGCATAGATAGGGCTGATTTCCAGTACTAGGCCGAGGTTCCAGCCTATAATGCCTAACCAGGTTGAGATGTAACTGCGCTTGGAATCAGACATAAGGATTGTTGGGATTCTGAACCTACAGATCAGCAGTTCTAGGGTTACTAATGCTGATATACAATTAATTGAGGCCGTTGAGGCCTAGAAGACCCCAGGCCTCCAGCCCATGGGATGATTCTTCTTCTGTTTACTTGATCATATAGAAGGAAATTTAGCTTCTTAGATAATTGAATGTGATGTTAAGTGTGATTTTGGTAGTTTGCAAGTTCAATTATTATTATTATTTGTTGGTAATATCTAGAGTAGCAAACCATACTAGAGGTGTTACATTAAATTGACCTAATGATGATTCTGTTAAGGTGTTCATTGATCCTAGCAGCACGATCAACTTATTATCAATTGGTCAATTTTTTGTAATGCTTCTAATATGGTTTACTACACTGAGGTGTTCATTGATCGTAGCAGCACAAACAACCATTTATAAAGGTTTCTGGAATTGAGCCTTACTCGATTTGGAACTTCCAATGGTTTTACGCCCAAGAAAGAGAAGACCGAGAAGCAGCAGTCTAGATCATCTTTGCAATCACACACCTGCATGGATGTGGCATGTGATTGGAATGAATGGCGAGAATGGCAAGTCATAATATTGCATTCGGTAAAATATTCTTTTAGGTTCATTTCATATGTCGTTTTCTTTGCAGATAACAGTCTTAAGATTCAGTTCAATTGCCTGTTATTTTGAAACTAGGATTTACAGTTTCAGGTTGGTATTTTGCTGCTTATTTCAGATTCCCAATCCTCTTATTGAAGAATGTATTGATAGAACAGAATAGGTGGAATTTGGGCTGTAAATATGCCATGAGCGGATTATTTAGTTGTTTGTAGAATTCAGCTAACTCTGACAAAATGGAAGTGCTGAACGTTTTTGGAAGAGGGACGCGCTGTGGAAATCTGTGAAGCCAGCACTCTTTGGAATGATGATAGGGTCAAAAATCCTTGTTCAGCATCTTTCTGTTCATCACAGTTGGATTGCGCATCAGACTCTTTGGTTCAACTGCTTTCCAGAAATTTCTAAAGCACTGAGCCACAGATTGATTGCACTTTGGCTGTCGCTGATAAGCAAAATTGCCAAGTTAGTATTATAGCACTTTATCTTAATTGTCTAATGATAGCTAGAATTGTTAGTCAAGTGAATTGTTTAGTACAAGTTTGTTGGTCTACTAAGGATGAAGAGTCTTGCTGCGTTATCAGAAGTATGGCATTAATAAAATTCAGCATGATATCCTCTGTTGTTGAAAGTTAACACTTTGACTTGTGGGCATGCATCCAAATCATCTTTCTGGTACTTAAGACCTCCCTCCAAGCAATACATACGACTTTCCGCAAAATACTATTTGTCTGAGTTTTGTAGAGTTGTAGGGACCTTCCTAATCCGGCTTCCCAAAATTCTTTTCATAGCTACCGTTTCTTTCCTTTTCGTTACAAATCTCAAGATCATATTTCTAAGTAAACCTTGGGATCTTGCAAAATGAATTATGATACGTTGGTGCGCAAAATGTTGTCTTTATGCTATTATACAGTTTGCCTGTTGTTCTACATTAAGGTTGCATTCTAATTTCAGTTTATTTGAGGGACAGTCTTCACAGAGCTAAAACTCTTGTCAAAAACTTATTTTTAATGGATTTTGGGGAGAAATGTTTTAATAATAATAATTAAGGAATAAAAAACCCCAATAAGGCAGATTACACAGTACCAAACAATATCTAGGAACAATAGAAAGCTAAAAAAGAAAAAAAGAAAAAGAATGTTGTCCATTACACCTATCCAATCTCGTTTAGTACTGTATAGCAAACATTTTTCAAATGTTCAGCGATAAAAAGACTGGCATTAGAATGGGAATAAGGAAAACAAAGCACCCTCTTAAGTCTTATCTGGGAGAAACCCAAGAAATAATGAAGCCACACTGATCATATCTTGAAAAGTTGAAAACAAACTATATTCTGGTCTGTTCTTCCTCTGGTTTTGATGGACAGTTGAGAAATCTTGTCCTTTGTACTCTCCAATTGTTTTCAACTGCCTTGCTCGTCTTATGGCAAAGAGATGCCTTGTTTATATCAAGCCTTGTTATGGATCGGATCTGATCCTCTTGGAACTCTTCTTTTTCTCATTCGGTATGGATCAAATGTCTGATTTAGAGGTGCTGGTTTCTTATCTGTATTCCTGCCCTTCATGACAACTGCTTCGAGTATACGTATACTGATGCTCTGATTCTTTACCATCAGCTGATGATCTTTACTTCGTCTAAGAGCAAGATCTATACTTGTCAAGCCACAAACTTCAATTGGATGAAACACTAATAATCCTAGACAGATGAATAATAAAAATGCCCTATAAACATAAAGAACCATGACTTTCTTGAGGGAAGAAGAGGAATGAAAATGTCTCTTATGTTAAGAATACTAAAAGATATGGTGGTGTCCTTGAGTTCCTATGTTCCATTCCTTGATATATATCATAAGACAATATCTTAATAGAGTTTTAGATTCACCTCTATCATAAATATGCAAATCTAAGCAAAGTGTTATAAAAGAATCTGAGTAAGATGAATAAAGGTAATTGGAACAAGACCCTCAAGAAGCTAAGCATCTTTTCATTGCTTCCTCACATCTCTATCATTTGCTCTGCTTTTGTCTTCTAAACAAAAGACCAGACCAGTGACCCTGCCAAATCATCGACCATAAGCACAAGACGTTAAACACTGACTAGTAATCATAGCCAGACCTAAACTCAAAAATGGAAGAAAGTTGTGGTAGGTTGACGATCAAACCTTATGACAAAAACGTATTCCTACGTTTTTTTGGTACTTCACAGAGTGGGAAAATGGTTTTGTGTAGATGGAGACTCTTTGTTTATTGAGAATAAAACTAGGTTTATTGTTGTACATAGTTATTAGGTTCGATGTAGTAAGTTGAAGGGATAAGTCCAAGAAATACAGAAGCCTCACATTGAAAATGTATGAAGGGACTGATTCTTTGCTTTTGATGTTCCAAGTTGAGGTAAAAGAGTGATGCACTTTCATTGTATCCTTTAATTTAATACCCCACCAGATTAGTCCAAATAATATCTGTGTATCAATACTACAGGGAGAATATGGCTACAGTCTTGTTTGTATTTCACATGGGCTACAAATGAAACAAAGAATCCAATTTGTTCGAGGGACCAGAGAACTTTACTTTCGTTCATGGCTCCAAATCTTTATAAATTAACATCACCCAATATTGGATTTCTAGAATATGAAGTGTTAGGTTCATGTCTCGGTTGTAACGATGATTTTTGTCTGTTGTCATGAGATCAAATATGTGGGTAAAAGTATAATTTTGATATTGCCAAGTGATATACTTTTATGCACTTGACAACATACTGGTATACGATAAAAACAGATTTACTTTATGTAAGAGTCTCTTGTAAGTTTATTGGAAGATTTTGAAATAACTTCATTCTTAATAATCCGTCCACTTTATCTGTTTTACATCAATCTAGTGCACGAATCCTCGCTTTGGGTCCATGCACAATAGGCCTCTATTGCATGCTATTTAAATAATAAAATTTTAGAAGAACCGAAAGCAAATGATTGCTTATAATTGTTGGAATATTTTTTTTTTCCCTTTTTCTCAACCAACCAGTTTTTTGTCACTATTCTTTCTTAAAGGTAAATTTGAAAGACAAAGCGGCAAGCATAAGACCAGTATACTTTGAGTTTGTTCCGCACAAGCTATAAGAAAAGGATGAAAAAGAATACATCTATATGTTACAATGTGATATAACAACCATAACCAGCCATGTTCAAGGGCTCGAAGGATTTGTAATTGCATCATGGGGCGCGAGTGGCTCCTAAGTAGAATTGGTGATGCGGGATGAGCTTGAAGTTGGGTTACCATGCTCAACTGTGTGCTACCTGGATCCCGCAAAGGGTGTTTGGTTGATTAAAACAACACGAGGGTGGTCATTGAAGTCAAAATCCATCAAGAAATGTGAAACTCAACTTTTGAATCAACTAGCCTTGAAAATAGACGAAACTAAAGCACACATCTATACTTATCCACTGCGACAAGCATTTGGCCTTGATGAGGAGGAGGGTACATCTTTGCTGCAAAACTTTAGACGCGAGCTCAGGTGGAGCTGTTGTTTGTGCGATACATTGAAGGATCTTAGGTTTTGAGGGATTAGTGGCAAAGGTGTGACGTGGTAGTTAAATTCTCGACGAAAATGAAGATTATGGATAGACAACATTTTGATACCAAAGTACACAACTCAGTAATGTTGTTTGCGAAGCACTAAATTTATTGACACTACTTTGTATATAATCAAATAAAATACATCAAGGCTCCGTTTGAGCCACGTTAATGCAAAAATGAAAATGAAAAATATAGTCGTTACAAGCCTCACAAAAGAGATAGAAAGTCAAATATGATGACTTGATGTGATAGATAACGATCATATTTTTCATTTTAATGGATAAATAATGAAAAATAAATAGGGGCCAAATAAATAAATACAGTTCGATAAATTTGTGGATTGAAAGGCAAAAGCTTCCGGAGTCAAATGGTTTATATGACACTGATTCATTTCTTCAAGATAGATGGTGGAGGGAGATCACATACATACACACATTTGGCGAATGGAAATTTCAAAACACGAAAATGGAAAAGAAAAACTGTAATAATAGGTAGCATCATCGTTCCTCCAGGATAAGTGTGCTGGGAACATCACGAAATTGACACACAAAAATGGTACAAGGACGTTGCGGAAATTATTATTTATTAAACCTGTTCCTGCACCGGAGAAATCTGTGAAGTGACTGCGGGTGCAGCCGATGCAACTAGAAGACCCCTGCTTTGTGCTGATTGTACCAGAATTGCGAATTGTGTTGCTGCCAGTGCCGCCTCCTGTCCCACCAAATCACAAATTTAAGACATAAATACAGTGTATATGCACCATATGCAACATGTTTCAGACTCAAGGGAGGCAGCACAGACATGGCATGCCATGGTCCAGTGGCCGCCCCATAGCAGGCCATGCTGTGGGCCGGCCCCAGGTGGTGCTTCTTTCCAAGAAAAATTGGAATAAAATGGCCCAGAAATCTTGAAAGTCCAATTGACCAGAAAAAAAGCATTTTTATTATTTTTGAAACAAAATTGAAATTAAAAAGGCCCATGAGCCCAGTATGGACCGGGCCTCAATATGAAATAGCATAAATTGGCCCATGCCAAGCCGAGGCTGGTTCAACATGGGATGACACTTTTTACACCCCTATTCAGACTTGCAGAGAGAGAGAGAGAGCAAACTGATGCCATATTGCCACTCACTGAGAATAGATACTCACTTGTCTTTGCCTCCGGCGTTGCAAGATATTCATGGCCCATATCAAGATGTAGCAGGGTAAGAGAAAGGCCATGACTCGGAGTAAGAAAATCTGTGTTGGTAAATTAGTCAGCACATTTCTAAATCATAATCACCATCATCCAAAAAGTTCAAATAACATAGATCATGGAGCAAATTGTGTGTGTGTGTGTGTGTGGATATCACATCGACTTACAGAGAAGAAAGTAAATGCATCATCATCTGCACCTCCATCTCCATCCCCATTTCCATCAGCATTGGCGACGGACAATGCATGCCGCAATAGCAGGAGAGCCAGTAACTGCAAACCAATAATAGGCCACTTTTGGTTTAGATTATGCAAAGCATGTACTCCAGAATATATCAACACACAAAAAAAGTACAACTGTACACAACCATTTCTAGCCCCTCCCCCTGGTCCTCTCTAAGTCTCTATGCAAATGTGTGCGGTTCAGTGTGCCCCGGGGGCATAGAGCTAATACCAATCTACCATGATTCTCAACATAAACTTTGAACCTTGTCTGGCATCTACCTCATCCATTTTTACTCTCTTTTAATTTGGCTAGGCTCTATGTCATTAGTGAGAACAGGAAGTAAGTATTGAAAAAGGACAGATCAGCAATCTCTCTCTCTCTCTCTCACACACACACACACACACACTTGTGCATGACATCCACTTCAAGTAACGCTATATAATTGTTCCTCCACCACCACCATCTATCATCTACTTCAACCAATTCTCAACATGATTTCAGATATTCTTGTTTTTAAGTGGAAGTGGACATTAAAACAAGAAGCAAATTGCTAATACCAATAGTGATACTTTGTTCGTAAAGACTTACAATTAGAGCAGCTGAGCGGCAAAAAGCAGCACCACTGTTGTTTGTTCCATTATAATCATCATCTGCTTCAAACAACTGACGTTCAGCCTCAGCAATTGCCAGAATGCGAGGATCACGCACATCCAGTGGTGTGCCAGAAAGTTGCCAAACTCCTCTACAAGACAGATTAAACAACCAAAATACCATAAAATCCAAAAAATTGTACCCACTTTTCCATATTACAGTAAGAAAATAAGTACTGATTTTCCAAATTGTTTGCTTTGGTCACACAAAAAATCTCTAACGTCAAGAAAATACAGAAGATAAGAATTTAAAACACTAAATTGAAACTTACCCAAAATCTATGGTAGTCTCGTCAGATTGAGGCCGCGGAACGGCGGTATAACCAGACTGATAAGGCTGCACAGCAAAACAAAATTTTGCATCATGAAGATGACATCATGTTAAAAGCACACACAAAGTAAACTTATTCCACTTATTTTAGATGGAAACTTTTTCTGAAGTGCCTTGAGAAATTAAAACATTTATGAAGATGACACCAACTCTATTTCTGTGAATGGAAGATAATCACAAGCCAAGTCACTATTTGTTTAAGGATTAAATTTATCTGCTCCAGTAGATTCTCCTGCAAAATGTTCTAGAGCACTCATACAATGCTTCAAAATTTGAAGGTCAAATGTTTACACCAATGGGTGATCTTATTCCTATTAGTAAAATAATTGTCGCAATTGCAAGGACATGCACCAGGAGGAGACTCAGGTGGGGTCTAGAGGTGCAATCTTTAGAATAACTGATATGAGCATGTTTGGCTAAACTCAGAAAAAAAGTGTAAGTAACTTTTTATTTCAAGAAACGTTGAAACATATTATTGATTTCTTGCCTCGAAAGTACCTCTTGCATTGCTGCCTAAATAACTCACTTGTTTCCAACTTTGACCAATGAGAAAATTATTTTTTTAACATTTACGTATATAGACATGAATAAACTTTTAAGCTTAGCCAAACATGCACAAACAACTCTGAAGTTCATCTTCTGACACTCGCCAATTTTTCTCTTGGGATCATCACTTTCCGTTCATTCCAAAACAAACAGTGAGATTGTTTTCTAGTGTAATGTCGGTAGTCACATCCCATGTTCTGTACTTTAAAAGCTAATGTGGTTTGGGTTATTAGAAATGGCTAAATTTTCAACAAGAATGCATGTAAAATAACAAAAATTATCCCTGCCAACATTAATGAACAACAGCTCCACAAACAATTCTGTACCTGATGGCAGATCTCACAAGTAATGTCACCCTTCTCATCGCACCAGTGCTGAACACATTTTCTGTGAGCATACTGCAAACAAAATGGATGTCATTTAGATGGTTAACAAAGCCAATATAACAATTGTGGAAGGTTCGGCAAGATGGATTCCAACATTAAGGAAGAAAAAAGAAACAAAAATTCAGTCAAGAAGGGGGGCAGGAAAGGCTTTGCCATAAACAAAGAAAACTTGATAAACTTCCATAACCTGGAATGAATTCATATGATTTTAAGCATTTCTCTAACAATTCAAGCTTCAAACCTGAACTTCACCACAAACATTTTTAAATTTACCACATTACAAATGTAGTCTCACAAATTGGCAAAACCAAGCAATTTTCTCTGGTCAAGTTGAACATTTTGAAGATAAACATTTTTAAGCCATACTACCTCAAATCCCAGTTTTGAGATTCAAAATTGCACCAACACAGAATATGCACTTAAATGTACAATCATCTTGATATAAAGGTAAATATTGACTGTTCTTCAAAACATTTACCTTGAGACTCCCACTGCAAGCACAAGGATTCTCTAAATTGTTCAGAGAATCCTCTTCCTGGCAAATGCGACACTCTGCCATACCTAACAATGGCGCCTCCTCGTCTGCAGCCCCATTGTTCTTCTCCTCCATCTTTTCCTTCTCTTTAGCCATAGACGATGAGGGTTCTACCACAGCTGGTGAAGTCAACTGGCTGGACCCTACTATCTCTGGCTTCACCAGCTGTTCCACATGAACCACCAAATGCTCACCCATTTGCACCTTTTTCTACACCGCCACCAAAAACAGCAGCCGCAAAGAATTTCAATACAAAAATCATCAAAACTCAAAACAAATCCCTCAAAACTACACACTAACCAATACCCATTTCATTTTATTCACGAAGCTTTAATCTATTGGCCTGTACATTAACTAAAACCACCTAAAGAAAATAATCTTAAATAGCAAAATCGGAAACCAAATTCATAAAGGAACAAAATCAAGATTTCCCATTTCAAATAATAATAAAAAAGTCAACTTTTTTTTTTTTTTCGTATGATCTACAAAGTCTACTCCACCACAAAGACAATCACGCGTCTTCAAAAAAATCTCACAAATAAATTAAAATCCACCGATCACGCTGTAATATGAAGCGGGATCAGAGAATTTCATAGATATGGGTGCCATAACAAAAAATAAAAAAAGAAAGAAAAGAAATGTACCTGAAGAACAAAGAACTGGAAATGAAATCGCGAATTTGTTACCTAAACAAAGATAAAAATGATCGAGGGTTAAAGTCTGTATCCTTATGTACACATATACCACCAAAAATTAATTCTTGTTAGTTTTTACGCGTTTTCTTGGCCTGCTCTTTTGTCTAATCTTGATTCTTGACTTTGATTGTAAAATTTGCTACGAATAAAAATAAATAAAAGTGGAAGCTTCTTATTTTATTTGTCAAGAAAAGCTTAGGATTTGGTGGAAAAATGGTTTTTAAATGATGATGTTTTTACTGAATGACACTTTCTCCGAAAGTCCAACGTCTTGAACTTTGGGTAGGCAAATATGTCAGCTCTGATATTTAGCTCCCGTTTCGTCCACATTAAATTTCATTTCATTGTATTTTATTTTTTTCTCGTATGTTTAATCACACAATTTTTCATAAAATAATATTATAAATAAATCAAAAATTTTTTCTTATTTTTCAACCACTCATCTTTCGGAAAAACACTATTCCACCCATTAATTTTTCCACAAACCGTTTGACCTCTTTTTAAAACTCTTTAATTTAATTTAAATTGTTTTCTCTCCTATTTTCAATTATATAATTTTCAATAAAATAATGGGGCCAAACAGGGACTATTTTCTTGCTGCCTGGCCCCACCTTATTTCACCCAACGGGAATATCTCATCTATGAGATCATAGTTAATCAAGATTTTAATAATAATGAACAAAATTGAATTGCTCAAAATAAGCTAATACTTTTTACGTGCCATAAAAAATATGGTGGAAGCTGGGTTAGAGAATCTCTAATATCATCGTAAATTATTTAAAAATTCTATGATATAAGTCAAAATAGACTGCATTTAAAAAATAAATATCTAATGCAAGTTGATAATATCATAGAATTTTGCTACATTTACATCATAATTGATATCTTAGATGATATTACGTGACGTGACACACAATTTTGTCATTGATTTTTTCAACTTTTATTCAAATCAATGACCTCGATTTTCACATTTAATGGGATGTCATTCAAGATGTATACATTGATTATATAAATAGATTAATCCAAGGTCATAAGGACTTCATCAAACTGATGTGATAAAAAAATTTGTCTAGAGCTTCATCTATATTTAAACACGCTAATAAGTTTTATCTTCATTTTTAATTGATTGGACTTTTTCTCTCTTCCTCTGTATTTCATTTGTTTCTAGTTTAGGGTAAATAAAAGACACATAGGCATTGTTTTGACTTGTTAAAAAAAAAAAAACTTATTGAAAACAAATTTCGGATTTAAGTGTCTATTCGTTAGATAAAAATATCACATAAACTATAAATCTTTCAACTTGTTTATTAAGAGCTTGTTTGGTACAGCTTAAAAATCAATTAAAATCAATTTTCTGACCGTTATTTCATTATTCCAATCATCATTTTTAAATTTTTCTCTTACAGGTAAGATTCACTTTATCTCTAACGATCAAAAAATCAATTATCAAAATTCCTACCAAATAAGCACTAAATAGACTGCAATCTCTAGAATACACTGAAGATGTTAGAAATCCCACTACTAGCTCATAAATAAGCTATACTTGGCATCAAACGATTATGGTATTGTGACTCAAGTTAAGAAACTCCCATCAAGATAATCCTAATTTTTACTGTGTAAAAAAAATTAATATTTATTGTGATAACCCTTTTTTATATTGAAGATTAAAATTTTAATTCAGGGCTTAACATATATTGCCATTTACGACTTATTCTTATTTTTGGTTTGGAGGAATCTTGACTTTGCCATTGGGAGTTGATCCATTCATGTTTGGGAAGTGTTAATAAACCGTTTAAAGTATAAATAGATAGAAATAAGGGTAATTGGCGCAAAACATCCTTACCTTTCGAGGTTATTGTGGAAAACGTCCCTACCTTTCATTTTTTGACATTTTTGCCCTTATTTACCACCTTTCTTGCGCTGAAGGTCCTTTTCACTGTTTTTTGACGATTTTACCCTCTATTCAAATAAAAGAAAAAGAATAGAATAGAAAACAAAAGAATTAATTGCAATTAATACCCCAAAATTTCAAAAAATTACAAATTAGTAATAAATATAGGAGTTAATAGCCCAAATGGTTACTAAACTTTGCCAAAGGTCCAAAAAGGTCATTGAACTTTTTTAAATACAAAAAGAAAAAAAAAAAACCAAAAAAACCAACAAAAAAAGACCAAAAATAATAATAATAAAAATAAAATAAGGAATGTGAAAATGGAGGAAGGTGAAAAGTAAACCAAAAATCATTTTTTATTTTTTCAATCGTACATTTTTAATCAAAATTTATTGAAAATTTTATTTTTAGCAAAACTAATCTGTATTTTTTTCTTTATTTTTAAAAATAAAATTTTCAATAAATTTTGATTAAAAATGTACGATTGAAAAAATAAAAAATGATTTTTGGTTTACTTTTCACCTTCCTCCATTTTCACCTTCCTTATTTTTTTTTGTCCTTTTTTTGTTGGTGGGGCCCGTTTCTTCAATTTTTTTTGTTGGTTTTTTTGGTTTTTTTTTCTTTTTGTATTTAAAAAAGTTCAATGACCTTTTTGGACATTTGACAAAGTTTAGTAACCATTTGGGCTATTAACTCCTATATTTATTACTAATTTGTAATTTTTTGAAATTTTGGGGTATTAGTTGCAATTAATTCTTTTGTTTTCTATTCTATTCTTTTTCTTTTATTTGAATAGAGGGCAAAATCGTCAAAAAACAGTGAAAAGGACCTTCAGCGCAAGAAAGGTGGTAAATAAGGGCAAAAATGTCAAAAAATGAAAGGTAGGGACGTTTTTCACAATAACCTCGAAAGGTAAGGATGTTTTGCGCCAATTACCCATAGAAATAAATAGTGAATAAATGAATACTACATGTAAATTCTTTGAAATATGAATATTCATAAATAGATAACACATGAGCCAAACATTAAGCTTAATAGTAGATTCATAGTTTGTTGGAGGACAATATGCAAAAATGAATGCGTTGGAAGCTATTAAAATTTGGAGGAATAGACTCGAGAAAATTGAACTCTTCGACACGTTCGCAACACTTGCCATGCTTAATATGTAACACTAAACGTAATAAAATAGCATGACACAAAGTTTTTAACTTTTGTAAGAAACCTTACCTAACATAGTAATGAAAAGAAATTGGGTTTGACAAAAAAAGAAAAAAAAAAAATTACATACCAAAAAACTATACATTCACCTTTATTTCAGCCCGTTAAAAATGATTTATAAGACAAAGCAAACAAATAACAATATTCTAAGGCCCCTCTTGCATACACAATCCTATTCCTGAACCTGTATGGACAAAAAAATTGTGTGATAAACATGTTTCTGATTCCAGTAAAATACAAATGAACTTGGACGTTACCAGTGCTTAGAAAGAAGCCTCTCGGAGCCAACTCAAAGAACTAATTGGACAGTACTGTGAATAAATTTTTTTTTTTTTTTAATTATATGTTTGGCTGTAGGATACAGGCCCACAAATTTTATCCACAAATGCACTATAGGATAAGAAGAAAACCACCTTTTCCTTTCTGCAAGAACTTTAGTGAGGCCGATCTGCATTCAGAGAAATTACCATTTGGAATCAAAGTAGATTGATATCTATTCTTTTCATTCAAAGAAACAGGAGAGAGTTTCCATGTCTCTTAGACGGGGTGTATATCCTCTAGGAGTACAAGGATATCTTAGCCGCATAATGGAAAAATAGATTAAAGAATTCTGAAATTTATGAGTCGTTAGTCCCTCACCGCCCCTAATGGAGGAATACAAATTAAAATCGCCGAGGAAAAACCATCAATTCTACAATATTTCTTTACCAAATATTGAAGAAAAGAGAATACATGTATTTTTTTAGTGAAGTTTAGTGATTTGGTATTCTAAAGAATATGATAATGAATTGAATTGAGTGCTGTATGAGGATTCATGTAATTCAATTCATATTTATTGGGGGGAAAAAAAGGAAGAAGCTTAATATGTACATTGTTTGAGTGTAGAAGAGTTTTTAGTATAAGTTGACCTAAGTTAACTTTCACAAGAAGCTCTTCTACTATAAGTAAAAGTCTTATCGAATGGGTCACAAGTTATTTTTGGTAAAAGTAGTCTTCAATAGGTAATCTTCTTCAAAACATAGGTCAAAATCTGCTAATCAAGCCATGCGCCATAGGTGCCAATGAAGATGTCATAAGTATTGGTACATTTCACTTGAACAACACAATCCAGAAAGCTGAAAAAGAAGCCTTCATAAACTAGTTTGGTACAACACAATCTGATTTTAATTTTTTCTTTTCTTTTTATCTTTTTCATTGCTATAGACGAGCTAGAAGCCTAGGAGTCTATACGAAACCCCTTCCTAAGCAAATATGGATTCATGACAAACACAAAAGATGACAATCAATTTAGCCCCTCCACAAGCCACGACATGTCTAGAATGAAGGGAACTTAATGGTGGATCTGCATTTTCCCATGGGAATCCCTGGACATTCAATGACTCTCGAACCCGATGGATCGACGCAAATATAAACTTTGTAAAGTTGTGATTTGCCAAATGCATCTTTGTTGCAATGTATCCCTGCTTCGTGTCCAGTTACCTTTCTTATAGCTTCGTTAATGTCAAAAATGCTATAAACTCCTCCTGGTTTGATTCCTACAAACATGATAAGTAACAATATAATCAGTCAATTAAGCTTTGTTGCCAGATATTTTTAACATCTTTGTTGACAAAAGATGTGTAAAATATGATTGGGTGATATTGTTGATTGTATTTTAAACAGTCCAATGAACTTCTGCCACGTGAACATTCTTATCCAAGATGTCAATGTAGCATGATTGATAATCAGTCAATTAAGCTTTGTTGCCAGATATTTTTAACATCTTTGTTGACAAAAGATGTGTAAAATATGATTGGATGATATTGTTGACTGTATTTTTAAACAGTACAATGAACTTTTACCACGTGAACATTCTTATCCAAGATGTCAATGTAGCATGATTGATAATCAGTACCTGAATAGTAGGAAACGGTACAATATTTTTCGTTCTTTATAACATCCCTCGTTACTCAGCCCAACTTATAAAATATGAGATTACTATATTGATATGGTGATTTACCTGCATTCTTGAGAATTTGAAGGATGTTAATTTTCTCCTTCATGTTCAAAGCTGCTTCAAAATATGAATGCTGATCGAGGGTAGCCACTGAACAAGTGCCACGTGTTGTCCATTCATGCTTCCAGATCTTTGAGCCATTAGTACTTGGACATGATAAGCTTGGCCAATCCTTTTGCATTCTACCAATCAGCTCTGAAATCTATAACATTACAAATTTCGGAAGTTTCTTAGAGCAAAAATCTGTTTAAAAATTACAGTTACATCCAAGGTCCATGAACTAATAGACGAAAAAAAAAAAGCTTTATTTATTAAGGGTTCGATCCCATAAATCCTTAGTTGTCACAGATCTTACTTTAGCTTCATCGAAGACTGACTTGTGAATCTTATTGCAATTTTGTGGGTATGAACCATTGGCGAAATACGGCCATAGGCTATGAATACCAAAATCTGTTGCAGGTTTTCCATAGATTGGGTAGCAACAGCTTCTCTTTGTATTACAGTATGATGGATTCCACTGCAACAACAAAACATACACACACGTAAGATGAGAACTTTATAACAATGCAGTTAGGTGTCATATTCTTGGATGAATAGTTAGAGAAAAACTTGCCTGTTGAACCAAGTAAAAGAAATCATATTGCTGTGAGGCACAGAGGAAAAACAAGAATTGCATTGACAAAATCTTGATTAATATTGAGCTCATCTTTGCGTGTGAACATAAGAGGACTGATTTTGAAGTATGAATGAATAGATTGGACATTTGGTACTGCATTTTTAGGAACATTGGATTTTGCATGTGAAAAATTTTCCAATTCAAATTAGAGATTTTTTAACTGTACAAGAGTAAATGCTATGTCGACTGGTTCATATATATCCATGCTCTTAACTGGTTTAATTTAAGTGTCATTTGAGTTGTGTCATTTAATGTCACATGGCACATCATGTGATGACATTGAAATTGACAGTCAAAATTAATTTGGCTTGAACAGTTGAACCCGATGAATGGTTATTGCACCCCAATTTTGTCGCTTCTATATAATATTAAATGCAGCATTAAGACAGTGAATCCCCACACATCCATGCAGGGGAAAAAATCACATGTCTACTTGCTGGTATGTGTATGTTATGAAATGATAAGATCAATTAGAGCATCTCCAATTAATAATGTGTATTGCAGTCTACATGGCAATCATATAGATGGACTTTCAATCTATGTGACAGTAATTGATAAGTGTATTCTACAAATTCATCTACATTTCCTTTTAGAAAGCAATGAAACTTCATCATTTCCCTTGCATAATATAAATTAATTGAGAGAACTTCTATTTAATGAAGTGATTTGGAGCTAAACGGGGGAATTGAAGATATTCACAGACCTGGCCCCAGCCTTGGCCCAAGGCAAGTCCTCACTGCCTTGGGCCTCATATTTTTAGAGGGCCTCTAAAAGCCCAAAACCGCAACTCTTTTAAAAAGAATAAATAAATAAAATTGGCACGCAAAAGGGAGGAGAACGCACAGCCTTTCTCACATAACACGTCCATTCCATTTGGCTCTTACAGTGGTGCTCTTTGTAAGTTCGAATCTTTCGGTCTTAATTAATTAATTTGTTTCATATTTTATTTTTCAGTTTGTTTTTAGCTCCTCAGGTATTCCATAAATCATTAATAAAAAAGAACTTGGTATGATTTTCCAATTTTTTGTTGCCAGAGTTTTGTATTTATGAATTTCTCCTTTATTTAATTATTTCCGATCATCTTCTTCACAGACCACACTCCAATTTAGAAGGCAAAATTAATCTGTAGGTTGGGTGAAATTCGCAGTGGGCGTCTGGGTGAAATTCGCAGGTTGGGCCTTTCTCCATTCATTATATGAATCATGATTTTATTGATTTTAGAGGCGTGTAAATGTAAATTTTTAGGGATTTTTAATGGGATTATCAATTGACCGCATGCCTACATTTTATTCATTATTTAATTAAAATGGGCTTCTTGAATCGTTACTATATATTCCGTTTATTAGGCTATTAGCATTCTTGTTTTCATGTAAATGAATAATGTGACTTGCTTGCTTGTGTGTTGATGTGAACCCGATAGCAACTAACACTAATGAATAACACAAATTCCAAGAAAGCCAGAAAGCAAAGTTTTGGACGCGATTCACAAATCGTGGACCAAACAATAAATAGTGTATCAAACTATTAATATTCTGATACGAACTTAATCCGGATTTTGGACTTAACCCAATTAATAATTGAACCAAACAACCCCAAGGTAACAAAGACACAAAGGACCTTTTGATTACAAGATTAATTGAACCTTACTCGAGTTTTGAACGCCACAAGATCGTGAAATCTTGATAAGTTCGGTTTGCTCAGCCAGAACAAGGATTGGAAGCAATTTGCCTCTCTGAATTAATTCTTAAAATATCATAGTCTGAATACAAAGAATGGAAAAATTGCAATTTATACCTAAACCCTAAATTAACGGGAAAAAAAATGAAATTTTAAGAGTCCAAATATAATAGACTTGCCAAAAATAAGAATTATAGCTAAATTAAAAGTCTCGCGAAAAAAGGAAATTTCTGGCTCCAAAATGTGCTATGCGGTCGCATAGCACAATTGTATGCGACCGCATAGAAGAAGCAGTTCACCCGGCTAATTTCCCTGCCTCCATGTATGCGACCGCAAGGCTGGGACTACTATGCGGTCGCATAGTAGTCGGCTGACTCCAATTGTGGCCCTTCAATTCAATTGATTCCAAGATTATTCGGCTCTGGTCCCTAACACGAAACTGGACCCTTGGCTTGCCAACTTTATCCTTTTGAACTTCGTTCCATGAACACACATTTGTATGGCTTTGTGCATTGTCTTTGACCCGAATGTTCCTCGATTGAGCCCTTTGAGCCTTCTCCATGACTCTCACACTCGGGATTGAACTTGGTTGACTCAAGATCACATCATGTGTGCTGCTTCATCCCAAACCACTTTGTGTGTGTGAGATTGAGAGAGTCAGGTGTGTCCATGTATGAAAATGGATCCCAAAACAATTTTTGTGCTGAGGGGCCTCATAATAATTGAACGCCTAGGATCTCTAAATTCTTAGGCCCAGCCCTGGATATTCAACCTGTGGAAGATAAAATTTGAAGAAAATAGAAGTGAAGGGCCAAAAGTGTATGAAAACCTGATGCTAGGGGACGAAACTTGTACGATAAAATGAATGGAGAACAAAGTGAGCAAATTTGAAAGATTATGGACCAACATGGATGTGATCAAAACTCGAAGGACTGAAATTGACAAATAAAAAGTTGATGGACTTGCAAAGAATCAAAAAGTTTGGCGCTTGGTGTGCAATGATGAAGAAAATATGTGGGAAAGCATCGCACATGGCACGAGGCCGATTGCCTTATTGTTCAATGGCTGAGAAATTTGTTATAGCTCGTGTTTACTCGCGCTAGGTCCAGGAATTTGAACGGGATTTTTTTTATTTTTTTTATTTCCAAGTTCAAGGGTTTTTCCAAGTTCAAGGGCTTAGGGTGTATTCAAGGCACGATTTTGAAGGGATTTCAAGGTTTATATCAAGGACCAAATCTAGCTCAATAGAAGACACTATGCAAAAGATGTTACGCGAATCAAAGCAAGGAGAATTCTTCGTCAATTACAGGTTCTTGGTGGTGAAGACGGAAGCAATTTCAAGAGATTGAAGAAATTTAAAATTGTAGATTGTAACTATATTTTCTTCTTGAACATACGATTATGAATTCATTCACTCCCTTCCTTGTTTATTTAAATTTTGTCTTACTAAACTTCTAGTTGCTTAGATTACGTTGAAACTTCGTTAACTATTTGATTCAATATATTGTTCAATTTTATTTTAAATTTTTATGATTTTTGATTGCTTCTTGTTTTGATCAACATCTTACTATTTAGCTAATTTTAGAACTTTTCTAGGATTTGTAATTAATTGAAACATAAATCATATTTTTAGGTCAAATAATAGAGAACACTAAATTCTAGAAGATAGAGATAATTCTATACTTGGTGGAATCTTTTGTGATATTCTAATTTTGTATTGCATTTTTATCAATTTGCATTCATCATAGAGATATAGCTCGATCAAAAATAAGAATTGGCTTAATTTATCTTAAGACAAAACATTAACACATGGGAAATATATATTATCTACATAAACTAATAATTGACTATAAGCGGGTAATTGAGGGCTAAAGTAGGTTAACAACGTTGGATTCATGATTGTCATACCCTTCGTAATTTAATTAATCTCAAGAACTTGCATGCTTATTCTTAATTCCTTGGTTTAAAATAATTAGATATATTTTAATTAAAAATTTAATAATTAATTGTGTTTTCTTTGAATTAAAGCTAGTTTTAATTAACACAAAGTATTTGTAACGTCCCGAATCTTAAGTATAGTTCGCTACCTGAAATGCATTCTTAGGATTTTAGGCAAGTCAGTGTAATGATGATCATTTAGAAAATACAGAGTAATTAGAATAATATTAAAACCTTAATTGAGGGAGTGAATATTATTCTTTCATCTATCGATTATAATTCTTCTTCTACTATAAAGTTCAAAATCAGCCCATGTTTGGAAAAATTTTAATTTAAGTCAAAGTCAACAACTATTTTTAACTACATATTTTATGAGACCCACAACTTTACAAACATACATTTCATGAAATTTTATCAAAATTTACTAAAAAACTAATTTTAATATCTGCCAAACAAGATTTAGTGTCATTTGAAGGTAATATAAAATTACACACTTAAAGTAACACTGCTCTTTTGATTTTTTCATCTCGTAAATGCTTGGAGCCTGAATATTATTGAGGCTCACGTCTTTAGCATGTCTCACGTCCAAATATACCATACAAATTGATTGACTTGACCATCGAAATTGACAGTCAACATTAATTTGGCTTGAACAGTTGAACCCGATGAATGGTTATTGCACCCCAATTTTGTCGCTTCTATATAATATAAAATGCAGCATTAAGACGGTGAATCCCCACACATCCATGCATGGGAAAAAATCACGGCTACTTGGTATGTGTATGTTATGAAATGATAAGATCAATTAGAACATCTCCAATGAATGGTGTGTATTGCAATCTATGTGTCAATCATATATGGACTTCCAATTTATCTGACAGTAATTGATAAGTGTATTCTACAAGTTTATCTACATTTCCTTTTAGAAAGCAATGAAACTTCATCATTTCCCTTGCATAATATAAATTAATTGAGTGAACTTCTATTTAATGAAGTGATTTGGAGCTAAAAGGAGGAATTGAAGATATTCACAGACCCAGCCCCGGCCCTGGCCCAGGCCCAAGGCAAGTGAGGCCACTGCCTTGGGCCTCATATTTTTAGGGGGCCTCTAAAAGCCCAAAACCACCACTCTTTTAAAAAGAATAAATAAATAAAATTGGCACGCAAAAGGGAGGAGAACGCACAACCTTTCTCACATGACACGTCCATTCCATTCGGCTCTTACAGTGGTGCTCTTTGTAAGTTCGAATCTTTCAGTCTTAATTAATTAATTTGTTTCGTATTTTTTTTTCAGTTTGTTTTTAGCTCCTCAGGTATTCCATATAATCATTAATAAAAAAGAACTTGGTATGGTTTTCCAATTTTTTGTTGCCAGAGTTTTGTATTTCTGAGTTTCTCCTTTATTTAATTATTTCCAATCATCTTCTTCACAGACCACACTCCAATTCAGAAGGCAGAATTAATCTGTAGGTTGGGTGAAATTCGCAGTGGGCGTCTGGGTGAAATTCGCAGGTTGGGCCTTTCTCCATTCATTATA